CCGTTCGCAGCGCTGGCTCTCTTGGTGCCCTGATGGAGTCTCTGAAGGCGGCGACTCGCAATCCCACTCCCTTGCATAACCAAGGCAGGAGACTGACGACGGGGGCGAACAACGTCTCGTGGGGAACCTGGGGAACCTCGGGAACCTCTGTTCAGGGCCTCTTCGCATCAGTGTCCAGGCTCTCTCGACTGCCCCCTCGGGCCCGTTGGGGAATAGGCTTTGCCCAATGCGTCCCCGAGAGAGGCGCGAGAGGGCCCGCCGCGGAGCAGAGGGGCTCAAGAGGGCCCAGAAGAAAGCCCCGCCGTGGCCCGAAATCACAAGCCGATTGGATCACCCGGCGGGTCTTGGGCCCCGAAGCAAGCTCCGAGATGGCCCGACATCGCAGGCCGACAGGATCACCCGGCAGAGGCCCGCCAGGTGATCCTGTCGGCCTGTGATGTCGGGCCATCTTGGAGTTGTTTTCGGGGCCCAAGACAGCCCCGAGAGAGAAACTGTTCGCCCTCCTTCTTCTATCGACTGTCCCCATCGATGCCTAATGCGTGGTTCTGCTTCTGCGCCGTCGGTTGCCGTCGCCAGGCGAAGGCCGACGCGATGGAGGCCAAGCCTGGGACCTACGACCGCGGCTACAGCAGCTACGAAGCCCGGCACCCCCACCTCTCTGGCTCAGTCTTGCGCAAGCAGGTGCTCGGTTCGGGCATGGCGCCCAAACAGTCCCCCTACCACCCCTTGCCCTTGCTCCACCTTCCCGCTTTCACCGCCACGTTCTCTCTGAGAGTCCTCTTTCCTCTCCAGCCAGTCCTGCGTCTCCAACCCCTGCCGCCTCCCCGCGCTCCCCCCTTCCCCCCCCTGGTTTCTCCTAGCCCCTCTCGGGCCAGCCAGCGGCGCTGGCTAGGGTCTCGGGGTCCCGGGGTCGAGCTCTGAGCTCATCGATGGGTTGGAGGAACGCCCTGAGGGCAAGCCCTCAGGGTAAAAGGGTAAAAGTGTCGCTCGACCCCTAAACAGTTCGAAGATGATTACGTGCTGGAGATAGATGTCGGCGCCGCGATTTCATTATTCCATTCAGACGGGGAGAAGCGAGGTTGCCCAGTGTTCATTCGGCACGAACTCAACAATCGGAGGCAGCTGGCCACCCGTCAACAGTACAAACTGCGCATCCTCTCCGAGGGGGTCGTGTGGGGCGATCGGTCGGGGGATCTGATCGCCGTGCCGGATGTCCTGGACCCTCGGAAGTGGACGCTCCGCTTACTCTCGGGAGCAACGCTCGTGGAGGCGTGCTACGACGCCATCGCGGAGTCCACCGTCCGAGGCGAGATCACCAACTCCCACGTCCGTCTTCTGCTGGCAAAGGGGGTCCGTTTATTTCCATAAGCCTTCCAAGGCCCCCAGACGCGGCCCTTGCCCTTGATCAGCGACCAAACTTGGGTCTGCAGTGGCGCGCCCAAGCTCCAACCTTGCAGCCGAAAAGTTTTCGGCTGCAAGGCCGAAAGGCGGGAACCACGGAGTTCCCAAGTTTTCGGCCCGAAAACTTGGGAACTCCGTGGTTCCCGCCTTTTCCTTGAGCCAGCCACACCAACCAGGCCATCCCCCATTTTTGTGTGGAACACGCAGTGTTTTCCCGCGCGTCACCCCTCTGCCTCGCCAAACACAGCACTTTTGTTTGAATTGTGTCTCCCTGTGGTGGTCGGTGTCTCCCGCGTTGGCGGGCGTTCGCTTTCTCGCCGCCGCAGAATGTGGCAAAACATGGTGTGTTTGAAGCATTCCAGGGGTGACGCACGGGATTTTCCTTGCGCTTCTGCATGGAACTTACATCTCGTCCTATGTTCCGACATCGTTGCGTCTTCCGTGTGTTTTCCAGCTGCTTTCCTTAGCTTTCTTGACCGCGGTGGGGCCTCGCGGGGCCCGCAGAACTGCCCCCTCGACGGGATTTCTCGGGGCCCGCTCGGGCCCCCCCGATCGTATCAACGAATCGCTGACTTTGTTCTCCAAGGTCGAGCGCGTCCGGTTGGTGAATCCGAAGTCGCCGCCTGACGCCCTGCTGTACATACGGCACCAGTGCAATCGCCTCGTTGCCTATGGGAGCACCACGAGCTTCATGGAGCTCTTAGAACTGACGCCTATCGTGAGCGAGCATTGGTTGGACTATAGGAAGGAGCAGCGTACGATGAAAAAGCTACATGATGCCGCAGCGGCCAGCGGCGGTGCCAGCGAGCCCCCCCCCGAAACAGAGTGCGAGGAACCTCCCGCCAAAAAGAAGCGGAGCCAAGCTGGAGATGAGACAGAATACAAGAAGTTCCTGAAAGATAATCATCCTGTCTTCGACGGGCTCGAGGATTTCAAAAGGGCTTCCATTTTCAGGGCAAGAGTTGGCGAGGAAGGCTTGGACTTGTGGGATGCGCTGGTCTCGTTCTGGGGTGAGTACTGTGACTTTTTGGACAGGCGCCTCAATACCAGGGACGTGTTCATGGTGTTTTCGCAGATCTTGGCTGTGCTAAATAAGGACGAGTACGAGCAGTCCTTCAGGGAAGTGATCTTCGAGGTCCTGAGGTATGCTGTGCCATTGGCAGATGCGGACTTGATTCAGCCTGTTGAATGGTTGCTCCGGACAACGAAGGATTGCAAGCGGCTGAACGCGCTCGTCGAGCCCATGGTGGACAGCAAGGTATTCACGAAGGAGCGCGATCCGATCAGGAAAGCGAAGCTGGCGAGCGCAGAGTTGGCGTTGAAGGAGGCCCAGGCCGCCCTTGTCCAGGCGGAGGTAGAGTGCGCTCGGCCTGGCCATCCAGGACAACAGCCAGAGGACAGACAGATCGCAAAGCAAGAGAAGAAAGCTCGCGAGCAAAAGAGAGCCAAGGCGAAAGCTAAAGCTACCGCGGCGGCAAAGCTCGTCGCATCGCTGGGGGCCGACGACACCGTCTTGCAGGAGGCGGGATCCCACAGGCGCGTCGCAGTTTTCGCCGATGACCTGCTCAACGTCGCCACTCCGCAGGGAGTCAAGCCAGAGGACATGGATGAGAGCAAGTTTGTGATGATGATTGGTTACGGGGTGCGCTTCGCCCTCAGGTTGCCGCAAACAGAGCCCCCCGTCAAATTGACCATTGACGATGCGGAGGAGAGTTTCAGCAAGTGGAGCGCGCTCAGGAAGCGCATCCGCGACTACATGCACAAGGTGCACGACAGTGTCAGGGCCAAGGACGCGGAGGAGGAGTGCGCGGAGGACGACGGCGCCGGGGCCGACGCCGATGGCCAGGAAATCGATACCGCCCCGTTCATCGTTGCCAAGATCAACGGCATCATCGGCACGGTCGGCGGCGCCAACAAAGCCAGGTATAAGGTCAAGTCGAAGTTGCAGGACTTTTCCTGGCCTCGTAGGGGGCGGGCCCCGATGTCGTCTGATCTGGGTGTATTTTCGAGAGTGTCTCTCTGAAAGCTGGGCGCCAGGCTCAAACTTGGAGTGCCATCTTGGAGCCCTCTTGGAACCGTCTTGCGGCCCCTTCCCGGGGCCCCTCTCAGAGCCTTCAGGCTCCAAGAGGACACCGCAAGTCATTATGAAAGGAGTCGCTTTTATAATGATTTTTGGGGGTCTCCAGGGCTTCCTTCGGATTTCTTGGGGCCCTCTTGCACCTCTGTCAGGGCCTCCTAGGACCTTAGAGCTCCGACGTCTTGGAACCCGAAGGTCGCCGTGAAGCGAGCCGCCCGCGACGAGCGGTTTGCTCCTAGGCGAACCGTCCGTCACGGGGGACTTGCCGAAACTAGAAATCGGACAGGAAAACCCCGCAGCGGGGCCGCCAAGCGCCCCTCTGGGAGCTTTGTTGGGCCCGTTCGGGCCGCCCTGGGCCCCTGTGGAGCAGTCTCGGGGCCCCTTTGGGCCCAGGGAGGCCGCGGAGCCGCTGGGCGAAAACTCAGGCCCTCTTGGGGCCCCCAACAGGCTTTCCCGGCCCCCCTCTTGGGGCCCCGCGCGGCCCCGCCGCGGCCCTCGGAGGGGCCCAAGAGGTCCCCAAGACGGCCACAAAGCGAGATGCGGTCGCATCTCGCTTTGTGGCCCTCTTGGGGCCCTCTTGGCGCCCTCTTGGGGCCGCTTGCGCGGTCCGTCCCAGGACTACTTCGCCGAGAATCAGCTCACGATGTCGGTTGAGGACATCACCGCCACCCACACCGCGGTGAGCAAGATGAAAGGCATCGCCATGAAGACGCTGAAAAGCTCAGAGGTGCGCGTCTTGGAATGCAAGGTTGGCGATCCCGTGGAGCTCATGAGCGTCGGTTCCTTGATCGTAGATAAGATTCTGACTTCCATGGCCAATTCCGTGTCTGAGGGGCTTTTCGACCTCGCACACTGGTTCGAGCAGTTGCATCAGGTCGCGTATCAGGACGGGGGCTCCCGCGACGAATGACACGTAACATCTACTGAACTGAACCTTCGGGATTGTTGCATTGTGGTGGCGAATGGTTTCTGCTGGGGGGGGGGACGCGATGCCACGATATCACGATGCCGCGATATCCGAAAACGTGGCGGGGGGGAACACGGTAACACGATATCACGAGATCACGATATCCGAAACGGGGGCGGGGGGAACGCGATATCACGATATCACGATCTCTCCACATTGTGATATCGTGATTTCGTGGTACCGTGTTCTCGTGGTTTGGGACGCTGTAAACCAGCAGAGCTTATGGGAATATTGGGGCGAGGCCCAATTCCCACACACGAGCGCATAGTGTGGGAATTAGCTTCCCCCCACCAGGAATGGGCCGCGGGCACTCAGACCCTCCCAAAGGGCCCCAAGACCCCCGAGGCGAAACATTGTTGGTCGTTCTGGCAGCTCTGGCACATAGTTCTGGAACCCCGTGGCCCTCTAGAAACGGTTTGGGGCGGGCGGGAGTTCGCCTGGGAATATCTAGAGGCTCAGGGGCGGGTCCGCCTTGACGGGCGCTGGCCCAGTCGGGCCCTCTCTGCTATTCCTGGCGCCCTGGCCAGACCGAAGCTGTTTCTAATGCCCCAGCAGGACGCTTCCAAGCGGGCGTGGGTGGAGAATAGGAAAGTTCTGGGCGCTGATCAGACAGACTTCGTTCTCTACGTAGAGTCAGTGGATAGCTGCCTGGCGGCGCTGGCTGGAGCCATCTGGAAGGACGAGAGAGCCGCCGCGTGCACTGTTCTGACGAGGTACCACTACCCCATTGCGCTGCTTGAGTATTACGCCGCCTCGGATCAGCTGTCAAAGCATGCGCACCTCAAGAAGTACCTCGTCGACGGCGTTGACCTGGCTAAGGAACACATGGGCGTGCTCTGCGTCTCAGAGGCCGAGTGCCGCACCCAGGATGAGCTGCGCGCTTGGTGGAACACTACCTTGCAGGTACCCGTGCGCCTGGGCAAGTACTGCGCCCGCGAGCGCGCGGACTGTGAATGGCGCCTGCGCGAGGGCGCAATCAAGAAGAGCCTCGAGGCCAAGAAGAAGGAGAATCTTGTCGAGCTGGCGGCCCAGATGCAGCTTGAGTTTAACAAGGAGGACCTGAAGCCAGCCTTGGTCGAGGGGATCCTGCACCAGCAGATGGAGAAGGAGAAGAGGGAGCACGAGGATAAGGTGGCTCGGTGGGACAGCATCTTGAGGATTGCTCATGATAAGAATGGGGGCATTGACAAAGCGGTGGAGCGGGCAGAGACTGGCGGCGGCGCCTCAGATGCCGGGCAGGGGGGCAATGCGTCAGTTGACGAGGCGGTCGAGGCCGCGCTCTCAGAGGTGAAGCCGTTCGTCCTGGCCAAGAAGCAGTACATCAACATTTTCGGCGGCATGGCCCACTGCCAGTTGATGGGCGCATTGTCTCGCGCCGCAGAGATCTCCACATTTCTCAGCCAGGTCGTTATGACGAGGTGGACGGCTGGGATGATGAAACCAGAGTCTGCGTCCACGGTGAAGATCTGCGAGGGGGTGGAGATGGCCCCTCTCTCCGACAAGAAGCTCGACAAGGTATACTGTGAGCAGAAACTCTTGGCTGGGAAAGGTGCCCTGCCATACGCGGTGTATCGCTGGGACGAGACCTTTGATGGCACTGTTCGTGAGCTGGTATTCCATTTCGTCGGGGACGTGATGCTGGTGCCCGCTGCTACGGACGGAAGCCTGACCTCGACGCCCAGCTCGTACTTCCGCGGTGGCCAGCGGGTGTACTGCGGAAAGCACACCATCGGCGAGTTCGTCTTCGACATCTGGATGGAGCCCAACCCGAACATGCGCGACCCCCGCGGCTCGGTGTGCGCGCCGGCCTGGAGCGTCCGAGCAGTTCAGGAGACCAAGGAGCCGAAGTTGAAGAAGGACGGGACTCAGAAGCAGCAGGTTGTCCCGACCATGAAGGCATTCACCGTGGAGGAGAGCATCCAGGCCGCCCAGTGGGCCGAAATTTGCATTAGCCCCCGCCCAAACCTAGGGTCGCCCATGGAGCTGTCCGAGGGCCCTGAAGACACCTTCCAAACGCCTCGATGGATCGATGGAGCTCGCGCGAAGCACCAGAATGCCCTGGGGCCCGGGGCAGTGCAAAATTATGCTGCGGCTTCTCGGGGCCGCGACATTAACCCCGAACGGGCGATAATAAAGGGCCCCCCCCACCTTTCCCCCCTCGATTTTTTATCCCCGCCCACAGGGATTTATCTGTGGGGAAGGCGCGGGGGCCGAACTTGATAATCACTTGGAAAGTTGCGGGGATCGAAGTTGCTATCATATCATGTTGATTAGCAATGGCATCAAAAACGCCGAGCATGGCCGTGATGGTTTCGCCACACCAGCTTCCACAATCACGAGCGAATGGCAGGGCTGTGGGGTTATCGCCAGTTCAGTTTGCCCACGTTGCAACCGCGCGGCAGGGCCATGGGATGCGCCCGATACAAACATGGAGTAAACGTCAGAACGACGTCTGGGTAGGGATCGGCACTCGCCGAGTGCTGATCCCTACCCAAACCTCCTCCTCCTCCTCCATCATCGTCACCATCGTAAGCATCATCATCATCGTAACTTACCTTCCCCGGATCAATCCTGTATTATCCCCGCAGGGACCGCGAACTTTTTTTTATCCCAGCGGGGTTATCATCGCTCGCGTTCGGTTATCGGGGTCTTTTTGGTTTTTGTTTGCGCCCGAGCCCGCCGTTCGGAACCTGCGCCTCGTCGGCCCCGCAGTGTGGGCTCGGCCATCGCCGCGTCCAAGTGCGTTCCCGAAGCCCTGTAGGTGCCCTGCGGCGACAAGGGCGACACGGTGAAGTTCATGCGCCCGCACTTGCAATTCGACATGAGCGCGGCGCCGGTGGATTTGGCCATGAAGCTCACGCGCCAGCTGCAGGGCAGCCCCGACCAGGCCAAGTCCCCCGACATGCTGCCGCTTTCACGGCCGCTCTTCCCATGGGAGGCCAAGGCGACGGAGAAGCCAGCGGCCAAGAAGACCTCCAAGGTCCGGGCGCTGGCAATAGCCCCGTGGACCCCAGGTTGGCCCCGTAGAGACCTGGGGGAAAGAGATTTCGTGGGGGCTTCCAGGGGGGCCCAAGAGTGCTCCGAGAAGGCCTGGGCCCCATGGGGCTCGACAACAAACGCGCGCGCGCACGCGCGCGCACGCGCGCACGCACAGACACACACACACGCACATATGTTTTCTCTTATTGTGCCTGGTCTTCCTGGGGGCCCGGAGAGCACTCGAGACGAACCCCGAGAACGAAACCCATAATGGCGTTGTTTCATAGGAAACATGTAATTGCGGGATGCCGTCTTAGGGGGCAACTTGGGCGCCATCTTGGGGCATTCCTGGGTCACGGTCTGGGGGCCAACTCTCCAGTATCTCCCCTGGCCCAGGGCCCGACGGCTAGGGGCATTTCGTTTTGCAACCGCCCTCAGGGGCTCGCGCACATCCTGAGCTGAGCGGCGGAGCGGTCGACGCGGGCGACGGCCCGAACGAGGGCGGGGGGGGCGGAACCAGCCGAGTAAGCGGCCTGAGATACGAGATGGAGGAATGAGGAGAGGAGGGGACTATGCCTAGGCCCTAGGCGGCCTAGGCCCTAGCCACGCGGCCGCGAGCGGTAAGAGCAATCAAGGGCGCCAGGGGCCCCATGACAGGGGGTGCTCGGCGCGGAGACACATCGAACTCTCGGGGAGGAGGATGGATGTGATCATGATGATGACGCTGGTGATGTTGATGATGATGGTGCTGATGATGGTGATGATGATGATTATCCCCACGTCTGAAGGGGGCAGGAGCTCCTCGCTCGCACTGCCCCTCGGACCGAAGCATTCCCCTATGGCCCTGCGGTGGCAACGCTCGGTCACGTGCGCCTCGGCGCACAAAGGCAAACGGATGACCGATCCCAGATGGTGATGCGAAGGAAGAGGAGGAGGAGGAGGAGGAGGAGGGAGGAGGAGGAGGAGAAGGAAGAAGAGGAGGAGGATGTGATGAGCCCGCCTCGCATAACGCACACGTTATGCGAGGCAAGCATCTCAGCCATCAAATGTTTCGCCAGCGCGGGCTCCGAAAAAGCGAGGGCGATCATGAGGATGGGTGGGCGATAGGGAGGAGGATGAGGAGGAGGAGGGGGAGGAGGAGGAGGAGGAGGAGGAGGAGGAGGAGGAGGAGGAGGAAGAGGAGGCGGGGGCTGTGCAGAGAGTTCGGGACAGCCAACGGCTGCCCGACAGCCCGGGCGTGCGCTGGGGCGGCGCAGAAGCAGCCCCCCCCCTTGCTGCACGCGAGCGGGCGCGGCCCGAGCAGGGGTGCCGGGGGCGTCCGTCCATCTGAGCTAGGCACGCATCGAGAGGTCAAATGTTTCGACGACGGTTGAGACCTAGACTCACCTAGACTCCTTTTCCGCTTTCCCGCTCCTAGATCCTACATGCTAGCCCCCCCTCTCCCTCCTCCATTTCCCATGCGTGATGTCCCGCGCGGCCCTTGCGGTGCGGTCATGTTGTCATATCTGGCCCGTGTAAGACGCTCGCCCGTTTTCACAAAAAAACGCGAGGGGCCATTTATGAGCCCTCCCTGGCCTCCGTACCCAGAGGCTCGCCTCCTTCTACCCCTTCCCTCCATTCTCGCCCTCTGTCCGTGTTTCCGTCCCACGCGCCCGTCAACCCTCGTCCCCCGCGCGTCCTGTGGGGGGCACTTTTGCGGGGACCCCACGGCCTCGAGGGGCCGCCCAACAGGGCCCTACCCCTATTCCCAGCTGATACTTCGAATACTACTACTGCTACTACTACTACTACTTTTACTACTACTACTACTGCGGCTACGCTTTTTACGACTTCTACTACGACTACGATTACTATTACAATTACGACTACCACGACTACTACTATCATTGCCTTTGCTACTACGGCTGCTACCACTACTACTCCCAGTGTTACGACTACTCGTACTACTACAGCTACTCCTACTACTACCCTTGCTACTCCGGCTACTGCGCATATTACCACGATTCCTACCATTAGTACTACCACTACTATCACTGCTGCCACCACTACGACCACTACTAGTCTTACTACCACTATTACTAGTATGGCTGCTACTACTACTACTACTACTACTACTACTACAATCACTAAGACTACGACTCTTGCCACTACTACGACCGCTACCACTACGACGACGACAACTACTACTAATAGTACGACTCCGACTCCCATTATTCTTATTGTTGCTGCTACTACTACTAGGACTATTGCTACGACTACTACTATTACTATTACTTCTGTTACAGCTACTGCTCTTACTAGTACGACTACTAGTACACTCATGACTACTACGACTACTACGGGGTATGCAACCGATGTTTACTACCACCGCTACTATCATTAGAAATGCTTGTCTCATTACTACTTTTACTACGGGCGCGACTACGATTCTTACTGCTATTTCCGCCGCTACTACGACCATTCTCGCTATTACTACTACTAACTACTACAACTACTACTGCTATTACAAGGGCGACTACCACAATTGCGACAGCTACTACTACTACTTCTACTGCTACTACCAACTCTATTTCTACAAATTGTATTGTACCACTAACCATATCTTTCTTTTACGTTTACTATTCGTATTATCGCGATTACTACTACTACGGCTACGACTACTACTACCACTACCGCCACTACTACTACTTTTACTACTACGACTTCTGTTTCGACTACTTTTATGGCTCCTACTGTTACCTTTACAACTTTTCTTTTTAGTACCAGTACTACGAGTCGTACGAATACTTGTAGTACTCCTAGTATTGGCGATAATGTACTACTACGAGTACTGGTACTTGACCTAGTACTACTACTACCACTACCACTGCTACTAGTATAATATATATTACTACGGCTGCTCCGGCTACGGCCTGCTAGTAGTACGGCTTCGATTACCACGACTATTTCTAGTATTGCTTTTACGACGACAGGCTACTAGTACTACTACTACTACTACCACCACTACTACTACTACTACTACTACTACTACTATTACGACGACTACTATTACGTTTACTGCGACTACTACTACTCCTACTACTACGACGACTACTACTATTACTGCTGCTATTGCGATTTCTGCGACTGGTAGTACTACTGTACTATGCCGGCGACCACGACGACTACTATCACGCCTACGATTACTATTACCATTACTACTACTACGACCAGTACCACCGGTACGATTACAACTGTTACTCTGACGACGACGACTATTAGTTCCGCTGCAACTACAATGCTCTTTTCCAGTTCTACTGATATTTCTAAAACTACTTCTAGGAAGGCTACTACTACTACTACTACTACTACTACTACTACTACTACTACTACTACTACTACTACTACTACTACTACTACTACTACTACTACTACTACTACTTACTACTACTAGTACTACTTACTACTACTACTACTACTACTACTACTACTACTACTACTACTTCTACTACTACTACTACTCCTAGTAGTACGTCCACCACTACTACTACTACTACTACTACTACTACCACCACTACTACTACGATTGCTGCTTCTACTACTACTACTACGAATGCTGCTATTTCTGCTGCTGCTAGTACTACTACTAGGGATACATATGCTAGTTCTATTTGTACTATTTCCACGACGCCTACTCCTTTTACGGCTCCTGCTCTCTTACTACGATTACGACTCCACGTCTACTACTACGACTATTTCTACCACTATAGCTATTAGCTCTACGATTCGTGCGAAAGCTACCATCACTACGGCTCCTCTTTTTCGTCGTACTACTACTTTCACTACCGCGCCTACCTTTAATATTACTCCTACTCCTACTACTACTACTACTACTACTACTACTACTACTACTACTACTACTACTACTACTACTACTACTACTACTACTACGGCTACGACTACCA